ATGATGAAGCTATACATGACTGAATCCGTGCTGGGTGAACTATTAGAAAGACAGACGAGTAAGCAGCCATTACTGAATCAGGAATTTCTTCCTGGAGCCCTTCCTCCCACAGGGCATAGAGTTCTCGCTCTCATTTCTCTCATCTCTTTTCAAATGAGAAAAGAATTCCTTCTTTCCATGAGGCTTTCATATATGAAAACCTAAGGAAAGAATCCCTTGTTCGCATGATGCTATCACACATAAAATCTCATTCCCCTCCAGAACCCATATGCCTTTACCCTGATTCATATTCTCTGCCGTGTTTTCCACCATCTGATTTTTATTTATTTATCTACGTGTTTGTTCCCACTGAAACACGATAATCATGAGAGGAGGGATTTTGTTAATGCTGAATCTCCAGGACCCTCAAAGTGTCTGGACTCAGTAAGTTTATTGAATATATGGAAGGATGGAGGGACAGATGGATAGACAGGTGGATGGATGGATGGATAAATACACAAATAGGTAAATGGAGAAATTAATGGACAGATGTTTGGTTGGGCGAGTGAATAGATTAATGGAAAATAAGGATCATTAGTTCTGGGCAGACTGTGTTCTGGTAACTGTTGCGCTAACTCATTTAGATTACTTAATGAGCAAACTGATGGGCACATATGTGCACAGAAGGGTAAACACATACGTGTGTGTGTATATAACTGGAAGTGGAACTTGCTAGGTGAGGAGATAGATGGGCATATGGATGGATAGGCAGACAGATGTGTAAATAGATGTATGGATGGTATCAGTAAATAGAATATTTGGACAGATAAATGAAAACAAGAAAAGAAAAACATTTGGACATAGAAAGATACATTAAGTAAATAACAAATAGCTCACTGTTTGGCTGGCTGGACAAACAGACATACAAATTGATGAGTGAACATGCCGATAACAGCAACTAGCATGTGTCCAACGGGATAGATGGCTTGCTGAATGCTTCTAAGTGTTTTCTACATATTTAGACATTTAGGTAAATGGATGAATGGCTAAATGGCTGGCTTACTGAATGCATCTGTTAAGCGTTTTCTATGTACTGAGACATTTAGGTAAATGACTAGAAGGATGGAGGGATGGATGGATGGATGGACGGATGGATGGAGAGATGGTGGATACTTGTTTAATGAAGAAATGTATAGAAAGGGGTGGACATGATTATATGGATGGATGCTTGAGTTAATTAAATGGAGGGATATAATATGTTTACATAGATAATTGGATGAATAGATATGTTGGAAATTGATGAATTGATAAATGATACATGGAAAGACAGGCATTCATATAGAAGGATGGATGCATGAATGAATGGATGGATAGATGGATAAATGGACAGATAAATAGATGAATGGGTGGATGGATGAATGGATGGGTAAATGATGAATGGATAGATGGGTGGATGGGTGGATAGATGGGTGGATGGATGGATGGGTGGATGGATAGATGGATGGATGGATCAATGGGTGGATAGATGGATGAGTTGATGGATGGATGGATGGATAGATGGATGGATGGATAAATGGATGGGTGGATGGATAGATGGATGGATGGATTGATGGATGGATCAATGGGTGGATAGATGGATGAGTTGATGGATGGATGGATAGATGGATGGATGGATAGGTGGATGGATAGATGGATGGATGAATTGATGGATGGATCGATGGGTGGATAGATGGATGACTTGATGGATGGATGGATGGATGAGAGATGGATGGATGGGTGGGTGAATGAATGCATTGGTGGATGGATAGATAGATGGATGGGTAAATGGATGGGTGGATGAATGGGTGAATGGATGGATGAGTGGATGGATGGGTGAATAGGTGGGTGGGTGGATGGGTAAATGAACGGATATACAGTTGGATGAAGGGAGAGATGGACGGAGAGATGGATGGATGAGTGGCACACACGTAACAGTAGAGTTGACATCAAATACTCTGCTCTATTGTCCCTCACAGGACATGCCCTACTTGTAAAACCTTGAATCTTGGCCACTGCATTTAAATATCTGTTTTTGTCACCTCCCACCAATCAGCATTTCTGACATGATCATTCTCTTGTGACAGGGAAGTCCCACCATTCCAAGGTAGCTTTTTTACCAGTAGGAATATTCTTCCTTCTTCTGAACTAAAATATGCCTTGACCACATTTCATCACTTGGCTGTCTGTGGCTGGGACTCCCACTAGCAAGTAATCTCACCTCACCAGGTGATCATCTCACCTCCCACGAGTGGTCTCACTCCCCAGGTGACCTCCCCTCCCCTAGGTAACCTAGCATCCCCTGGGTGATCCAGCCTCCCCTGGGTGACCTCCCCTCCCCTAGGTAACCTAGAATTCCCTGGGTTACCCCCAGGCAGTCTCACCTCCCCCAAGTGACCTCTCATCCGCCTAGGTGATCTCACCTCCCTCAGGTGACCTCACCTCCCTTGGGTGATCTCACCTCTCCCAGGTGAGCTAACTTCCCCCAGGTAATCTCACCCAAGTGACCTCTCCTACCCTAGGTAATCTAGTATCCCCGGGTGACCTCACCTCCCCAGGTGACCCTGCCTCCCCTGGGTGACCTCACCTCCCCTAGGTGATCTTGCCTCCCTGGGCGATCTCACTAAATGTTTGTCCAACCTGAGGTCCGGCCCTGGCCACCATCCCTCCTGCTTACTCCAGAACCCCGTAGTATCTGCAGTTGTGTGGGCGCTGGAGGTGTGGGGAGACATTATGGGCCCCGTCGTACACTTGATGTTCCCTGGCTCCTCCTGGGTTGTGCTGAGGGAGGGGAGAGGCTGTGAGCTCCTCTCTCCAGGACTGGCCCTGAAACCCATCCTGGTGTGTGCTTGGGGGTGGGGACGGACTTCCTGACCCCCACACAGTCTCCATGGGCTAGCCCACCACCTGAGTCACCAAAGCCCAAGCTATGGACCCATGTGGAGTTTTCTGACTGTGGCCACCACCCCCCGCGAGCTGCCCTCTGCGGTGATTCACCAGCTTGCCCATCTGCTCACCGCCTCAACCTCGCTTCCCTCAGCATCCCCCGGGGTGCTGCACAGTCCCCACTGCCTGGCCTGGCCAGACTCATGATAGCTGGGAAGGCCAGAGGGGGCTGTTCCCCGAGGATGTGGGGATGGAGGGTGGCATGAGTGGGTGGGCTGCTCACGCACAGATGGCGGCCCGGGACGGTCATTGGGTGGCGGCAGCTGGCAGCCCGGCTCTGGCCCTGGCTCCGTGACTTTAGATGCCAGTGCTGCTGGCTGGAGCAGATCATGGGCACAGTGGCGGTTGTGAGCGCCAGTGAGCTGGGTGAGCCACCGGATGTGAGACTGCCCTGGCGGAGCTGGCCCTCGGCAAGGCCTGAACATGAGTCTGGTCCCTCCCCTCGTCCGGCCACTAGCCCCAAATGTTCTCCAGTGAGTCACAGTGGCCAAGCCCAACCAGAGGAACAGAGGGCTGGGCTGCTCCTTCCTGGGCTAGGGCCAGAGGACCGGGCAAGGGGGGCCTGGCTGGCGAGGGCACCAGGCTGACTTTGTGCCCACTGGACAGCTCTTGGCACCATGGTGTCCCAATACCAAACCAAAGATGCCACATTTGGTGGCATCTCTGCCTCTCGGGGTGTCTCTGCACTCTGGTGGTGGGTGGTACCAGGAAAGGCGGCAGCCTCCCCATGTGGGGATCAGAGAGGGTTCCTGGGGTGCCCAGCCTTCTCCGGCAGTGATAACGAGAGCAGAGGCCGGGAATGAACAGAGAGAAAGAGGAGAACCAGGAGCTGGGGAGAGGGGAGGAGGGGAGAGGAAGGGAGGAGGGAGGGGAAGGGGGGAGGGAAGGAGGGAGGGAGACAGAGACAGAGACAGAGACACCAGAGGAAAAGGGGAGAGGAGAGAGGGGCTGAGCTAGAGTTGGGGAAGGAGGGGGCGGGACAGAGAGGAGCCACCGAAGGGCCCAGGCCTGTGTCGATGGTGAGGGAGGCAGCAGGTTGAGGCGGGGCTGGACCAGGAAGGCTGACGAAGGAGAGGAACAGAGGAGGGTCTGGGCAGGGCCTGGCAGAGGGCACAAGGCACTCCGAGGTGGGAGGTGGTGATGGGCAGAACGGGCCCCTGTGCCTGGGGCAGGGCTGCCATGGACGGCCAGGAGAGCCTGAGAAGCGGGCAGTGGCTACCGAGGTGGCCCGAGGGGAGAGGCAGAGGGAGGAAGGGGAAGAAGAAGGGAGGGAGGGAAGGGGGCACCCACGCTGCCCACCAGTGGGCCACAGAGGTCCGGCTGAGCCCCTATGCTGCTGGCCTGGGAGGGTTTTCAGTCTGACATTTTTACTCTTCTCGGAAGGAGGAGGAGGTGGAGGTGGAGGAGACGAAGAGGGGGGCGGAGAAGAGGGCTGGGGGAACAAAAGGAAAGCAGCTGCTGGGTGTCCTGAAGTCAGAGAGGGGAGCAGGAGACCCACAGTCAGGGAGACCCACAGGGATGGGGACACAGGGACCAGGCTGCCCTCAGGAAGCCGGCCCACAGACCCCAGTGTCAGGGGCTAGAGGGAGGGACCAGGCTGCCCTCAGGGAGCCAGCCCGTAGACCCCGGTGCCAGGGGCTGGAGGGGCCAAGACGGGCAGGCAGAGGGTCACAGGGACAAGCAGACCACAGAGAGAAGGGACAAGGGAGGGGTGAGAGCCAGCGAGACACCAAGGGCCAGGGCTGAGCACCAGGGAAGTGCAGGAACGAGAGGGGCAGAGAGGGGAAGGAGAGCCAGGGAGAGATGAGCACAGGGGGCAGGGGCATGGGAGGAGGGCCAGCAGGGCAGGAGCCTCCGAAGATGCGGCTGTGTCCTGGGGCTGGGGTCAGGCCAGGTCACCGCCAGCCGGCAGAGGCTGCCGCTTGAGCAGTCCCAAGCTTCTGAGGAGGAACCCTAGCAGACAGGGCCTGGATACTCTCCTGAGGTAGGTCCCTCCTGCCCCGGCCGGGCATGGAGGGCAGGGCAGGGTGCCCTCACTGGGCGGCTGGCCACATACACCAGGTCAGGCCCTGGGGAACGGGGCCACTGGGCCTCCCCCCAGCTGCGGTGGGCAGGGAGAGGGTGCCAGGCTGGTCATGGGTGCATGTGAGGGCAGAGGCTGCTTGAGGCTTCTCCTCGGCCCCTGGCAGCTGCCCCGCGTCCTCCTCCCCCAGCCCCCCAGCACTGCCGGTCCGCACTGTCGTTCTACTGACACCTCTTCCCGGGGCTTCTGACCAGCTTTGAGCCCCAGGATGAAGGGCCCATCCTTGCCGTGGCTTCTGGGGCCTCCTGTGGGATCCACTGGACCCTGGGCACCCTTCTGTCACCTTCACTTCACAGATCATGAAATGGGACTTGGGCTGAGCTCACCGCCCTGGCGAAGCACACCAACCCTGGGTGGGGGACTCCTCGGGGCCAGATAGGGTGCCAGGCCACATACGCCTTCAGGTGTTGGGCAAGCATGGCGCCCTCTTCCATCCTGTTTCCTCCTCTGTAGAGTAGTGGTGTGGCACCTCGTGCAGTCAGGTAGGAGAGTAGAGTTCTGAGGGCCCGTCCTGGGAGGTCTCAGAGCTACCCCTCCACGCCGTCAGCCACTCTGAGCTGCCTGTAGTGCCCTTCCTCCTCCTCAACCCTTCCAGGCTTTTAAGCCGAGTTGAATAGCCACCTCCTCCATGAAGCTGGAGGCCGTCCTGCTCCAAACCCCTCTGATGGCATGGAGCACGCAGGCCGGACCTCGAGATCCTAGGTGGCAGGGCTGGCATCAGTCAGCTTGCCACCACCCACCCAGGCCAGGCACTAGGTGCTGAGACTTTGGAGGGCTGGAGAGCCAGGGACGCCCATGGGGGCGGGATCAGCAAGGTCTGAGGCGTTAAGGGCAGCCTGGCAGGGTCTCTGCTGCCACCCCAGGTCAGGACCAGCACCAGCCTGGCTGAGCATGCCCCCTTCCTGCCTCCCCTTACCCTTGGGCCCTGTGAGCCTCCTCCTCCTGGTGTCCAGGCTCTGCTGGGGCCTGCCCAGGTCAGACCTCCCTTCCCTACCCAGCAGGAATGTGTCCTCCTGCTGTCCCCCAGGAGCTCTGTGGCCTGGGATTTGAGGAGTGCCTGGGGTCCATCCCCCAGGCTCACCAGTGCCACTTAACAAATGGGGAAACTGAGGCCCAAGAGAAAGCAGTGCAGCGGCCGGGGGATCGGCAGAGCCCCGGCCTGGTGTGGAGGCTCACCCCCTTGTCACTCGGGCTTGGCCATAAGCATCCGTCCAGCAGGGCCCAGTGCCAGCTGCAGCCCCAGGTGAGTGAGCAGCACTCGGGGGCATTGGTGCCACGTGGGCTCAGGCTCAGGGCAGGAGGCAGCCTGGAGGAGGGCATGCTCAGCCAGGCTGAGCCAGCGGTGGTCAGCCAGTGGGTTGGTGGCATAAGGGACCCGTCCCTTTCAGTTCCGTGGGAACTTGCCCAGCCGGGGGCCAGGCAGGAAACAGTGAGAGTCCCTTGTCCAGCTATGGAGAGCAACCACAGTGAGCGGCATGCAGCCAGGCACCCCTCCAGGACCCGGGCCCAGGGGCCACTGTGCCCCAGTCACCCACCACAGCCACACACGTACACACACACACACACCCGCTGCCACCTGGGATGGTACTGCGCTCACCAGCACTGCCACAGATCACTGCTCCACATCCAACAGCTCCAGCTGCCCCCAGCCCAGCCCTCCAGGCCCGGCAGGCAGCCCCCTGTCTGCTCACTGTTGGATAAAGAGGAGCTAAGTGGATAAAGAAACTTGCCCAAGCTCCCTCCCCCACCTGCTCCGCCACATCCCTTCCCCGGGGACCCCCTGGTTGTCCCGCCATGCTGGGTGCAGGCAGGGAGAGGCAGCACACACAGGGTGCTGTGTCCTCAGTGACAAGCCCTGGAGGGCCATGCCGGGTGCCAGCAGCCACCAGGGAGTAAATTCAATGCAGTTTACTGGTGCTCCAGGCCAGTGGGAAACCATGCGCCGCCTGCCCCGTCCTCTCCTGCCCTGTCCTCCCCGCCCCGTCCTCCCCTGCCCCTGCCCTGGTGATTCTCCTTGTCTACACCTGGGTGTGAGCCCACGGGCTCTGCATGGAGCCCCGCAACACCGTTTTCTCCAGGCCTGGCTGTCCCCAGCTCCTGCCAGCATGTGGCTTCCGGCTGGCAGGGTCAGACCCTGGGCTGACCTCCTCCCACCACTGCCTCCCTGCCAAGTCTGCCCTTCCTGACACCTGGGAGTCTCTCCTACATCTCCTGCCTGCCCCAGGCAACTCAGGTCTCTCCCAGGGCCAGCTCGGGCCAGGCCAGTGTTAGGGACGGTCAGGGGACCTCGGCCCATGCAACTCCAGAGGTCACCTGGACTCAGCCACCAGCCTGTCCCTCCTGGCTTTGGGAGAAGGCACCAGGCAGATTGAAAGTGCCTTGTAGCCTGGCCTGGGGTGAAGAGGTGGGCAAAGGCTCAGCCTGGCAGGCTTCCGTATCAAGCACTGAGGTCCCCAGAGCTCCGTGCCGACCCCCGCCAAGGCTCTTTGGGTGATGTGAGTCCCTCCCTTCCCTCCATCTCAGGCACACGTCTGCCCGCAGACGTGGCAGCCACCCCATGCTTGGCTCTCCCCAGGGCTCTAAGGGCCTTCAGGCAGGGACACTCCCTGAGCAGCCTGGCCCGGGGACCTCTGGGGCCCGTGATGTGGCCAGTGGGGCAGGGATGGGCTGGCAGCCTACTGGGCTGGCCCTAAGGGGGCTGGGGGAAGCCAGGCCTCCAACCACAGTGTCCAAAGGGGTGTGGCTGCCTTGGGCCCATCCAGACCCAAGATCCTGAGGGTGGGGTGGCCCCCGCCCTGGCAGGGCTGGGAGTCGGTGTCGGACAGAGCCCGTTCTGCCCAGAATCCCAGCCGAGCCAGCAGCAGGGGTACAGGGACCGAGTGGCCCAGCCCCCTGGGCAGGGTGTCAGGGCCGGAGCCCAGAGGACTGCGGTTCAGGCTTCAGTCCCAGCCGGCGAACCAGAGCTGGGCAGAGCGGCCAGCGAGCAGCAGCCAGGGTGCCCTGGGCACTGGCCCCCCCGGATGCCCTACCAGAGCCGTAAGGGGGGGCACCCTGAGGCCGGAGGGAGCATGGCCCCGGGGACTGAGCATCCGGCTCAGAGTGGCTCGGCAGAGGTTGGTGGCCTGGGCTTGACCACAGAGGTCTCTGGAGGGCAGGCAGGAGCCGCTGCAGGTGAGAGCTCGTGGGAGAGAAGCCCTTGGGTGGCCCGTGGGTGGGGTGGCCATGAGGGAGTGTGGCCGTGAGGGTCAGTGCTGCCCGTGACAGGTTTGGGAGGCCTTGCTGCTGCCAAGGTGGTGCTTGTGGAGGTGAGATCGGGGGCCAGGCCTGGCCAGGGATGCTGGGAGGGGGTGATCCTGTGCCCAGGACTGTGAGGTTCTCGAGACGAGAACAAGTCCAACCTGGGGAGAAGCGAACAGGGAAAATAAAAAGAGACCGAATGCACGAAAAAGAAACGAGAGAAACAGAGGGAAAAATGCAGAGGGAGGACGAGAGCAGGGGCTGCCTTGAGGGAGGAGAGAGAGGGGAGCAGAAGGGGGCGTGGGCCGGTGGCAGGAGGGGAGGGCAGAGGGTGGGTTGAGGTGAGAATGGAAGCCAGTGGGGGTCTGGGGCACTGTTCCATGCTGCCAACCCCAGGCGTGAGAGGAGGGGTCCCTCCTACATGGGCCCTACCTGGCAGGTGCCCGGGGCAAAAGGCTGCAGAGCCGTGGGCTCACGCACTTCCTGGGTTCTCCAAAGATGGGCCGTGGGGGGAAGATAAAAAAGCGAGCCATGGACGCCGGAGGGGCGCAGTGAGGCCAGGCGAGGGCTGGCGAGCTTGCCAAGGAGCGGGCGAACAAGGAAATCAGAGCACCCCACGCAGGTCGGGGGCTGGCTTTCCCTGGGACGGAGGGCAGGATTTCTGCGCCAGGACTGGGACCCAGTGGGTCAGGACCCTGCCCTCCACCCTCTGTGCACACACAGGGCATCTCTATCAGCCTCTGTCCCTGCCTGGTCCTCCCCACACCCAGTTCTTGGAGGTGGAGGGGCCAGAGCCCCAGCCACGTCACCAGCTCCCTGGGGCTCCTGCGAGAGAGGTGCAGTCCTGAGCCTGAGCCTCCGTTTCTGTGTCTGTAATGGGGATGAGGGGACAGCATTCTGGAGGCCGTCTCGAGGACGGAGGTACTGGCTGCACGGGTGCTCACTGACCCTTTTTAAATGGGGATGTCTGGACCTTAGGCACAGAGGACCGGGTCAGGTCCACTTGACCTCAGCCACCAGGACATCCCAAGGGCACGGGATTCTCACACGGTCCACTGAAGCTGGTCCTTTGGACCCCGTTTGCAGATAGGAAAGCTGAGGCTCAGGGAGGCTCCAAAGCGTACCCCCATCTGGGGGCTGGCAGGGGTTGTCCGCAGCACCAGGGGACACACACCGGGCAGTCTCCTGTGGAAGTAAGCCAGCCCAGGGGCAGACTCTTTTCTGCTCTGCGATATCTCCCCTGCACCCCCAGGAATGATGAGCCTGGGAGGGGCTGATCAGCCAAGATAGCTTTGGGGAGGGGCCGGGGGCCAAGACAGGCACCCCAGAGCTCCACAGGCAGACGTGGCATGGGGGGGCAGGCAGAGGGCCTGGCTGCTGAGTGCTACAGCAGGAAGATCCCGGTGCTTCGGGGGGGCAGGACAGGCGGTCGAATGCCAGGCTGGCTTGGCTGTTCCCTTTGGGTGCCGGCTGCAGCTCCTGCCCAGGTGGGCGCCACGTCTGAATAATGTATGAAGCCTCTGGTCGCGTGGAGCATGGGCAGAGCCTTCAGGGATGTGAGGTATATCTGAGTACGAATAGCTGGGAAGGAATGAGGATGGCAGAGCTCCGAGCTGATGCCAGGGACTGGTCGCGTGTCCTGGAACGTGCCAAAAGCCTGCCTCGTGAGCACGGCGAGAGCGCTGCCAGGCAGTCCCAGCCGGTCCGGGAGCCTCAGTGCTCCCGAGGGCTGTCCAGCGGAGGCAGGAGGCACAGCTGGGCTGTCGGTGAGGCCCGTGGGTATCAGGGCTCTGTGGTCCCCTCCTGCGTAAGGCGGGCACCAAGCGGGCCTGCATGTAGGTGCATGCGAGGGTGAGAGCTGCGGCGGGGGACGCTGATCATGGAGTGCTGGCGAGAGCCCCAGAAAGGTCCCCCGGGTTGCCTCACTCGTGGCACAGGTCCAGCAGCGTTGTGGCCAGTGACACCGAGGAGGACAGGAAGAGCCACGTGCACAGCAGGCAGAGCAGAAGGAGGGAGGAAGAAAGAGCAAGCATGGGGCAAGCAGAGTCCCAGCCATGCCGGGGGTCAGCAGACAGGACCGCCCTTGAGCAGGGCAGGGCCCTAACCTCTGACCCAGGCCGGTCGCAGCAGGTGGGGCAACGGCGGTGGAGCAGGACGAGGGTGCTCCCGACACAGGGCTGACCTTGGAGCACACCACAAGAGGTAGGGCACCCAGCCTAGGGAGGTGATGGGCTGATCAGCGGGACGTCAGGCTCGGTTCTGGACCCCGCTATGAAGGCAGAGGTGGACGGTCCCTGACCCAGCCTCTCAGGACCGACGGGAAGCCAAGGGTAGAGGGGTTGGGGAAAACAAGGCTCCGTTTTCCAGTCTCGGCAGGGTTCAAGGCTTGGGGCTCTGTGGAGGCCACACCATGAGGTTTCCAGGGTCATAGATGCCCTGAGGTCAGTGCTATCTGCCGGCGCATAGGTGCCCTTCCTGTTGGGTGGCATCAGGTGGGCTGAGAGTGCCTCGTAGCCTGGCCCAGAGTGAAGAAATGGGCTGGGACTCAGCCTGGCAGAGTTGGGGATCTGCCCAGCCGGCCTGCGCACCTGTGGGACTGGATGGTGTGGCGGCGGGCCTGGGCTGCAGTCACCCTGGCCGGCACTCATACAAGTCATAGCATCACCGCTCTGGGGCAAAGCTGAGGCAGGAGCTCAGGGCCCTTGTGCCGCGCTGGGTGGGTCATGAAGCTCAGGGGGCTTCAGCAACAGAGGATGAAACTCCATCCCATTCCAAGTTGAGTGCCTCCTGAGTGGGCGCCAGGGTGGGTGCCAGGGAGGGTGTGAGGCTGGTGGGCTGCGCCGGGGACCAAGACAGCAGCCCCAGCTGTGGGGGAGGACGGGGATAGGGCAAAGCAGGTTTGGACCGAGCGGGTGGGGAATGCAGAGGAATAGACCCCTCCTTGTGCGCCTCTCCCCAGAGGTGGAGGCGGGAGGCAGAGACTAGGACAAGTCTCGGGTCATCAGG